AAGCGAGCATCATGGGAACGCTTAGATGGATTGCCAGCGTTCGAGATAACCTCGGCAAGGTCCGAAGACAATGACCTTGAGATGTGTCGAAAGCTCTCGACCATGCTCTGGGATTGAGGCTTTAATGCTTTCAATGAAGACGCTCTTAACTACAGACGTTGTCTTTGAAGAGCTGGACTGAGAAGTGGTTTTCCTCTTCACTATCTTTCTTAAAGGTTTATCCTTTTCCCCTGATTCAGGGTTACAGTTGAGTTCAGGGGATTCCTCTACATGTTGGTGAGACTCGTCAACAGGCGATATGATCTCAGCATCTTTTCCCGCCATTACGGAGCTTCGATTGCGAGTTGGCGTAAAATTAGCGGTTACAACAACAACAACAACAACAACAACAATCTTTATTTTGCACTCACTCTTGCTCAGAAAAAGTTACAACAAAGAGAATATTAAAAAGTATAAATTAGAGTACGGTTAGCTTCCAAATAGCTGAACAGGCAGCGTCAATTCAGGTAATTGTACCCGCAAATTAATCGATGAGTACACCGTCGAGAGATTGCTCTCGCGGAAGACGCTATAAAGAAGATAAAATAATCTTGGCTCGACTAATGTCTTGTCTTGACAAACAAAGTCACACATTTGAAGGCAAGCTTGCTCGCGCAATCTCACGTGGTCCCGTAGTGACGTCAGCAATGGTGAGGGTATAAAGTGCAACATATTACTGGATAAAGTATGCAAAGTCACGCGACAGAAACAAATTAAATACTACGATTTTATTCCTTTTTTCGATTTTCAATAAGAAACAATTATTTTCAATTGTCAGCCCTCCCACTTTACACCTTGTTCCGCTGTCCCTGTTATACCCATCTTAATGTGCTTCCAAAGCGATAACATACGGTTTGGGTATTCATTAATCCTTTTAACTACTTTCTTTGTAATATATCCGAAATTCACTTGTGCAGGGTCGATCGTATCCGTCAGTGACGTCATTCTCGTATGGTGGTGCCGCCAAAGTGACTCGAACATTCAACTAGTCATTGGAAACGTAATTTTGTATCGACCTGAAGCGCTCTGAATTAAAATTTAAGCTTTCACTTTCTTTTTCAGACCGATTCGTTTTCTTCGTATTTAGATTCATCAAAAACCACATGAACGAACTGTCCGACGTGTAGCTCGTCTGTTAGCTACTTAGCTTGATTTACAGATGAGGTTCAAACAATTTAATGCCCTCGATATTTACATGCATTACCGAATATATCTAGCGAGAATTCCTTCCGCGTCAGTAAATAAAACGCACGTTAATTTATTGCAGTTTGGTTTCGAGCTGCTTCATGGATCTGGAAAGCTGAGCGCGATTCCAATTCCCAACTGTGATACGGGGCAACGTTCAGGTCTGGGAACTTGCAAGAAACTACGAATGGTGGACCAAAATTCTTACAGAGGTTCGAAAAAAATCCACCAACCATTTATCCAAAGAAAAAGGTAAGGTGTAAGCCAGCCAACTTCGCCCTTAAGTGCCCTACTTCCCTAGACTAGTATCTCCATGTTTGATCTCCTGTCCGTGTTGGACAGATAAAACGATTGAAAGCCCTTCCCATGATGCTCAGTTTACAATTCACTTTGGGTCAGTGACTGTTGGCAACCATCTAATATAATTATTGTTATAATTTAATATAACTATTATTATTGTCAGTTTAACCATTACTAGTATTAATTTTGTTATTATCATCGCAAGCGGGAAGTTCTTTGCGCGGATCAAGGACTGTCTGCGAATCTTCAATTCTCTTCATATGTGTGAACAACTTCGTTTACTTTGCCACATTTGAAACAAAGCAACGATGAGAAAATTTTGCTACAGATATATTTTTTTCAAGTATGTCATACAACTTGTAATAAATTCAATCTATACAAAATGCTGTGAAAATTTACATCACATAATGCTATAGTTTTTGATAAAAAAATTGGAATACAATGCACCTCTGTCCCATCACAAAATGCTTCCATATACACATAGTTAAATGAAATGTTAATGTAATTATGATCATAATGTAATAACTATTTCCTGCAGTCAGAGGAGACATGAATCAATCCATCTGTTTCTTTTTTAAAATGATCATTAAATTAAACAATGGTTTGATATGTCTTTGGATGGTTAAACTCACCTCGAAATTCTTTGTAAAATAACTAAGATGGGTCCATCCTTGAAAAATTAGATACTAATTCAGATATATAATCACCAGAGCTATTAAACCAATGATTACTAACAGTTACGTTAAGTGTACCAGTGGAGGTGCATGCTATAATTTATGCCCAAAGGTTAAGTTCAGAATAAGTTAATTTCAGTGTCCAAATAAATTAACTATCAATGTGTC